CGGACGTTTATAGCTTTGGAGTTGTAGCTTTGGAAATTGTCAGTGGCAAAAGCAATAGTAATTACATGCCAAACCACAATTTCATTTGCCTTTTGGATTGGGTACTAAAAACATCCTTCACCTCTTCATTTCATTATACATACTTCCATTATCTATACCACATTTCCTTGATAACTTGCAAAATTGTTGCACACTATTTCACTGCTACGTAATTGTATTGCAGGCTTCTCACTTGCAAGAAAGTAAAAACACAGACGAACTTGTTGATCCGAGGTTGGGTTTTCGAGTTAACAAAGAGGAAGTAGGAAGAATGGTGAAAATAGCTCTCCTGTGTACCAACTTAACGCCGTCCGTCAGGCCTACAATGTCCGAAGTAGTTCAAATGCTTGAAGGACAAATGGTGATTCCAGATGTTCTCACGATAGGAAGTATGTATACAGATGATATGAGGTTTAAAACCATGAAAGACTTCAATTGGGAGAGGCAAAGCGGAAGTTCCAGTGGAAGGCAAACTCAGAATTCAACAACAATACGAGCAGATGCAGATTTTTCTTCATCTACCGCCGATCTTTACGAAATCACTAGAGATACAATATCATATTGAGGAATCGTGACAATATTTTGAGTCTGGGAGAATTGTTTGTGTAAAAATACTAGGAATTTTTTCTTTCACAGGATTTATTATTATTATTATTATTATTATTATTATAAAAGAAAGCTCACATTGATATGCACGATCTCTAAACTAGCCTGTGTTTGGTTTAGATTAAGATAAATAAAAATTTCAAGTCAATGTCAACAATTAATTTTAATCATATATTTTAGAGTAATGCTATTTATCATCATGATGATGGAACAACGAAGATGTGGTAATCAATTATCCCTCACATTTATCTCTCTCATAAAAATTGAATCGTCCAATCTCATTATTGCACATAGATTGTCACATCATCAATGTTTCATCATCATAATGATAAATAACATTATTCTACATTTGATTAACAATTTTTCAATCACTCATTTCATTAATTTTTATTAAAATATACTGAAAAATTGATTTTCATATATACCAAACAAGAGCTATATATTAAAATGGTGTAATTTTGGTGTAAAATTCTATTCCTTTCTTTTAGCTTTTGAAATTAATGTTTTATTTTTCTCTATTTCTTAAACTGATATTTGCCCTTAAAATTNTATTCAGGAAAATAATCAAGGGAAAGATTTATCTCTGGGGTGTTTTTGTAGAAGCATTGCACTAAGAGGGTTAATCGTGTCAAAATCAGTAAATAAACTCATTGAGAACAACATTAAGTCCTTGTTTGGTTACCGTTTATAAATTTTTTAAAATCGGTCAAATCATTTTTAATTCATATAATTTGATCCATTTATTTACAATTTAAACAATATATAAATAACTCACAAGTTAGTTTGTTGTTAATATTTAGGCAATTCACTATTTTTTGTCAAAATTATTTAAATTTCCTTGAAATAAAAATTAAAGAAGGAAAAAAAAAAAAAAAAAAAAAAAAAAAAAAAAAAAGTTTTACATGTAAAAAAGTTGTTTTTACTTTGGGCCTGTTTGAGAGAAATTTCGTGTTTCATTTTTGTAAAGAATATGACCGTTTGGTTTGGATTTTATTGTACCCATTTTCCAACTTCCTGATATAGCACTGCAAAAAGTAAATAGTAAGATTCAATGGGCCTCATTTACATTTTCACCCCTAATTCTCAACCACTCAACTGGACCAAATTCATTTTCCACTCACTATTGCCTTTACCATTTCATCAACAATATCGTTCTTCTCTTCAACGCAGTTCCGACTCCTTCTCCTTCACCATCACATTCTTGAAAATAAAATTGAACTTTTCTCTTCCCTTTAAAATTATCCGTGTATCCAACCCATTATTTGTGTGTGTCTCTCAATTTCGTGTTTCATTTTCATTCTTTACAGTGTCCCTTTCTTCCCTCAACACTAATCGTTGGTGATGGTCGATTTTCAGATTGCCTTGGCGACGACGACGAGCCTAGAAAGATTTTAAGTCCTTCAATATATAGTTAGCTATGTTGTGTTGTCTTCGTCTCACTACCGTTCCCAAACATTGATTGTAGTTCTCTCCATTTCCTCCATCCAAATCATCGTTGATCCTCGATTGCGGTGATGACGGCGATGAGTCCCATCAGGTGAAATGTGCTCCAACATTTGTTAAATATTTTACAAAGGGTGCTATTTTTTCATAATATGGTTGCATATTTACGCGATGCTAACTGGTTTAGATTTGTTATTTGTCCTAAATTTTATTGTGGTCATTCCCTCAACAATAATCGTTGGTGGAAGATGGTAATGGTAGTGCTATTTTTTCATAATATGGCTGCATATTTACTGGATGTTAACTACTTCAAATTCATTATTTGTCCTCAATTTCATGGTGGTTATTCCCTCAACAACAATTGTTGGTGTAAGAAGCTAACAGTAGTGCTATTTTTTCATAATATGGCTGCATACTTACGAGATGTTCACTTCTTCAGATTTGTTATCTGTCCTCAATTTTGTAGTGGTTGTTCATCGATTATATGAAGGTATTCCAATTAGTGCAAACGCTTAAGTGAACAAGAACATCGAATGAAAACTACCTAATTTGTAGGAAAAACCATATTCTAGTTTCGTATAAATTGGAAATGTGAATTCCAACATAGCAGGAATTGGTGTTGTGTAGGAATTCAGTTGAAAATAGTGCAGTAACTGAAATTTGTTTGTGCTATGAGTCACTGCAACATAATCGACATTTACTTCACGATTCTCGTTCTTCTTTCACAAGTACCTCTAACTCCGCCCAATACGCCACTAGTCGCAAGCGAGGATTTTCAATTGAAATCCACCCCCGCCATCGACAATTTGTTGTGGTCGTCACGTACAACTTGCTCGTACTCATGGATCCGTTTTACTCCCAGGTTGATTATCAGCTCATGCGGGCTCATCTACACCCGCAAATGTCAACAAAGACGAAGGCTCCCGAAAAAATGCACGATGGAATCCGGAAGTACTAAATGTGTTAATCGCCTCCTGCGAAACAGTCATTGCAGAGGGACATCGACAGGGTCGGTGCTTCACCAAACACGGGTGGGAGCGAGTCATATTTTTTTCAACACCATATTCGAGCGCAAATGGAGTAAGCAGCAGTTGCGAAATAAATGGGACTCTACGAGGCGGGACCACCAACGGGTAAGGGAGTTGCTTAATTGCACTGGGGTTGAGTTCAACCCAACAACCGGACACATTTGCACTGACGAAGAATGGTGGTGTCGAAAAATAAAGGTTTATCTATCCCTTTATCACTTTTAATTTGTTTGTCGTGGTACTTATTTATCTCAAATATTGACGTAGGATAACAACAACTACAAGGACTACAAGGACAAAGACGTAAATGACATCTACATTTGATATCCTCAGTTGCTCGGAGACACGTTCGATAGTGAAAAATATGCAGTCACACCGACGAAGTTATGTAGAACCAGGTTTGACTTGTTTGAGGACAGCGGTACGTAGAACTTTCGAGATGCGATCCCTATACACGACCAGAGTAATGGCTCAAGCGACGAGACAGAAGACGCACAAGGTAAAAGGAATATCTCCATTTCTGGTGCACATGTCGGCAGGGAGAAACTCTGGATTGGGTTTGCAGAAAGGGAAGAAAAAGAAATTAACAAGTCGGGAATTGTCGTATTCTGTGGACCGTGCAAACGGCACCGTCGAGTTAGTGTCCGCGAAGATCAATGATATCATCCGTCCGGCTAAGAACGACATAAAAGCATGTCTTAAGGAGTTGTTAGCGACTGGCCGACTAAAGCGAAAAACTGAGATGTTTCACTACGCGTGTATACTTATATCGCGTAAGAGTACGGGAGATTTGTTCGAAGTTATGATGGATGCTGATGAAAAGATGGATTGGCTTGAGTGGGTTTTCGCTGACCACCAAAAAAGGTCAGAAGACGTGAAATCCATAGGTCCTTTTTTTCTGTTCAGTATCGTCGTTTGTATGTATATGCTTTGTTTCAATCTCTCCAATGTACCCGTATGATGAATTAATTTCAGTTCCAGAGAAAATGTTTTGCTCACAGATTTTTGGTTAACATATTGTTCAATATTTTCGGTTTGTCATCTACATTAACATGTTGCATATATAACTTATTGAAGTGCAGTGGGATCCCCACTGCCATGAGAAAGAAATAGTATGTCCATTTTGGCAATTTTCCCCATGAAAAGATTGAAAAAGAATCACTGTGAAATAGGTGTAAGGTCCTTTATTTACTTTAATGAATTTTCCAATCAGTTTGACTTGAACATACCTAATAATGGACTCCTCTATTTAGGGCCTTTTTAAATTCCAACATATTTTCATACATATATTATAGACGTAGTCCCCTTAAATAGAGTTGTTGCTCTCTGGAAGTGTATCCACATCATGTGCATTTGCACTTTGAAGTACATTGGGACCCCCACTCCTATGAGAAAGAAAGAGTATGTCCATTTTGGCAGGCTTCCCTAGGAAAAGACTGAAAAAGGGTCATTGTGAAATAAGTGTAAGGTCCTTTATTTACTTTAATGAATTTTCCAATCAGTTTGACTTGAACACGCCAAATAATGGACTCCTCTATTAAGGCATGTTGAATTCCAACATATTTTCATACATATACTACAAGGGTATTCCCTTTACTACAGAGTTCTTGCTCTCTGGAAGTGTATCCACATCATGTGCATTTGAACTTTGAGCAGAAAATATTGCAACGGAAGACTTCGACTTCGATTGCTGTATAATGTCGGAGTCAGATTCTGAGGATGAAGTCGAAGAGGCGGACTACTTGACAGAGTTAGCAGCGGATATACTGAAGTGGATACGATATTACAGACTAGCCGAATGTGATGTGAGGAACATCTATCATGCACAGCGTCAACGTATTCGTAGATATACTTTTGCTCAGAACGGGCATATGTTTATGTTGGAGGCAATGCAAGGAAGTGGGCAACTCTGCTACCGGGAGTTTCGAATGTACCCTGCAATGTTGAGACATTTTGCACATATTCTTCGTGACGATTAGGATTGAGGAGCAGTCGGCACATGGACGTGTAAGAACAGGTTGGTAGGTTTTTGTGCATATTAGCCCATGGGAAGGAATACAGACATGTCCAGACATTATTTAATCATTCGTTACAGAATACTACTTCAAAGAAGTGTTACGAGCAGTCGTTGCGCTTTCAGCAGATACAATCAAACCGTACCCGAACTACAACGCAGGGGCAGGGCATCACATCCCTGATATGATGAAGTACCCATTATTCAATAATTGTATAGGTGCGATTGACGGAACTCACGTTAGAGCTGTGTTGCCTCACTACGAACGGGTCAACTTCATTGGTCGAAAAGGTATTCCAACAAGAACGTTCTTGCAGCATGCGATTTCAATTTATGCTTCACTTTCATGCTTGCAGGCACTACTGGAAATGCACACTTTGCACGAATTCTTAATCGTACGATCTATAGTCTAGAAATACATTTTCCTTACCCGCTCAAGGGAAGTATTATCTAGTTGACTCTGGTTTCACACAT